AATCCGACTGCTAAACCATGAACCGTAAAACCCAAACGGATCCCTTGTGGAACCGCTACAGAGTAGAGCAATATCACCGTCCTAAATCCTAAAACCCCTCAAACCCCTGAAACCCGTAAACCCTAAACCCCTAAACCCTTAAACCACTAAACCCCTAAACCCTTAAACCACTAAACCCCTAAACTCTTAAACCCTAAACCCCTGAACCCTTACACCCCTAAAACCTTAAACCCTAAACCCCTAAACCCTTAAACCCTTAAACCCTAAACCGCTAAACCCTAAACCCCTGAACCCCTACACCCCGAAAGCCCTAAACCCGGGTGAACCAGAAGGCCGCCTCCTCACCATCCGCTGCAGCCCCCTGAGGACGGAGGGCTTGCACCACCTGAGCTCTAAAGGGAACTCCAGAAAGTTGGAATATGGATTAATGGTAGGATCCCCTATAATTTACCTTTTCAAGGGGTTACGATAATGATATTCCAACTTTCTGGCTTCTACTGTATAGCTTTGGGTCTTTCTTTCATTAGGGGCAAAAAAACTACATAAACTAATAAACGTTGGTTTCGGGACGAATCGGCAAGACATCAACACAGAAACCAACAAGTGAAGGTAATAAGGGCACCGGATGCGCAGTGTGCACAGGTCGACGGCAAGGTTACAGGCAAGAACTGAATCCATGTTTTGCATACAGCTACCGTCATGGTTAAACACCTCCCACCAGCACTGTTGTAACACTCGATGGAAAGACCTAGTGCTGAACAACGCTGTTGAGATTCTCCGGGGATGCCGGGAAACTTCCGTCCGGAGAAACCAGCGCCTAAGAAAGTTTATGTGCCAGCAAAAACAAGGCAAAGTACTCTTCCCCCCAAAAAGTATCAAACTTTTTTGCTCGGGACGCGCTGGCTTCGTGCGGGGATGTCCGCGGGCTTGAAAAAGTTTATGTGGGTCGCCAAAACACAGCAAAAAACACTTCTACATAATGGAAGCACTTGCGCCGACTGTATATGCAGTGAGAAGGCCTGTGTGTTACAACCTCGCCTCGCGAGTGGAATATGCTACTATTCCCAAGCTGCGATCTATCCGTTCCCGCACAGCACCCATGGACCTGTAAACTGGCAGGGGCCTGCCTACTGGCTGCCTGTCCCTACCATGTCGCCCCAATACCAAAAGTTTATGTTTATGTTCTTTTTTTTGCTCCTGATTTCAGGGGTTCGGGGCTTGGGGTCTAGGAGGGAGTTCTGGGGTTCCGGGGGTTGTGGCTGTGAGGCTTCGGTGTTTTGGGCCTGGGTTGCTGGGGTTCCGGTGATTTCGGGGGTTCCAGGGTTGGGCTTTGGGCTTTGAATTTTGGAGCCATGTTTATTGACTGACGGTCAGCAAGCGAAGCCAGGAACCACAAGAAAGCTATGAGTGCCCACACACACACACACACACACAAACCTTTAGGGGCAGTATCCCTACGAAAGGGTCAAGCGTTTAAGCTTGCTGTATGTACTTTGAAACACCTACCCCCCATGAGGGTTTAAGCCTAAACCCCAAAATCCCAAACACCTGAGCCCACGCATGCACACAAACACGGGCCCAAGGCGCACGCACTCAAAATTATACCGTAGTATGCCTCCGAGCCTAGTCCAACTATGGATGCAGCTATTGTAGCTATTGTATTCTAGCACCCTAATCCTTAAACCCTAAACCCGAATACCTAAACCCTAAGCCCTAATCCCTAAACCCTGAACCCTAAACCCTGATCGTAGAACCCTTGCAGGAACTTCCTACATCGCACCCCCTAACGAACCCCTACACCCGAAACCCCTAAACCCTAAAACCCTAAACCTTAGACCCTAAACCCTAAACCCTAAAACCCTAAACCTTAAACCCTCAACGGTAAACCTCTATGCGATTCTTGGATGAGCGGCGCTGGCCAAGCTGCTTCTCCTCGAGGGACTGCTCAAAGCCCTTGGACGCCCCGTTGTCTCTTATGGTGAACAGGGCTTAGTGTTTGGGCTTCGTGTTCGGGTTCTTGCTGTTATTGCAGTGCGTCCGTTGCGTGCATTACGGGCTGAACTACAAGAGGCTCTCAATTAGTGAACGGCTTTTTTTCGAAGAGGAAGCCCTACACCCGAAACCTTAAATCCAAAATATCAAGTCCTAGACCCTTTATGCAATGGCACTGCGTTAGGCTTGGGGTCTAAAGGGTCTCGGGTTCAACTAAGGACAAAAGGGCCTCGGACAGCTGAAAGTTTCAAGTTGTTGGCCAGATCCCGACCGGGAGGACATCGGATTCGGTCAGGACCGACATGGACGCATCAGTCCGAAACCCCATGACCCCTACGACTACGAGAAGCTCGAAGCTCTCTAAACCCAAGCTGCAAACTCAAAAAGCCCTCAACACCTGCTAAGCTCTAACCTGTAAAACGTACAAGCATCAAACCGGATATACCGTACTACCCGCGATGCACTCTCCAACCCCTGAACCCTATGTAAGCTCTCGTGGTTGAATCTGGTTTCGGAGCCCCATGTCGGAAGAGGACAAACTGGGGAAACTACAAGTATTTTCCAAGAAGTTTACAGGGTTTTTTGATGGGTCTAGTAGGATTTTGACCTTTGGGGTGTTCGAGCGAGAGCTTGGGTGTTAAAGCCTATAAAAGCCTAATCCTAACGCCAGAAAGACAGGCCTGAATAATCAGTAGCAGTGTACCCTCTTGCCCCTGTATAGCTCTAATAAAATTGGACCACCCAAAAGCACATTCCGATTAGCAAGGCCTCTGTATTTTGCCAAGGGGCGGCGTGATGCTCTCGGACGGCTTTAGGCTGTTCGAGGGCTTCAAGCTGCCAGAGCGCTTCAAGCTGGCCGAGGGTTTCAAGCTGCCCGAGGGTTTCAAGCTGCCAGAGGGCGTCAAGCCTTGGCAGCTTGTGATGCAGGATTCAAGGATTCACAAGGCTCAGGGTTTTGGCGGGTTTGGGGCTTCAGCGCATGAAGGCTTCATTGAGGCGCAGAGCCGCCATCAACAAATTGTACGAACGACGAATTCGGCGGAAGCTCCGTGGCTATCATCTCAGTGAGTGAGGAGCTTTCAGCAACTCCGAGAAACCCTTAACAACAAGCCTTAATCCGAAATCTCCAACCCTAAACCCTTAACCCCTGAACCCTAGGCCCAATTTGACCGCCTGAACCCGAAGCCCCAAATTCCGCATGAGGCAGTCCTCAGGTGGGGTGTAGGATGCGATTGCCACGATTCTCGATCTACAAGGGGCTGTGAAAATTATGGTCCCTTTTGGGTCCTTACTATAGTACGGCACCTAATATTTTCGGCACCCAAAAAGGGACCGTAATTTTGACAACCACTCATCATAAGGGGCTACCAACATGACGTTCCCTGTTGTACCCCATCTTACGGGGCAGGCGAAGGGCTGCTGGAAGGATTTAGGCTCCCCGAAGGTCGGAGACTGCCGCTGCTGGCCGGCCCCTGGACCTCGGGGGCTTGAGAGGGCCTTCGACGGGCTTCAGGGCCTTTAGGGTTTTCGGGTTTTAGGGTAAAGAGTGTATAGGGTTTCAAGGCTTTTGGGCTTTAAGGTTTACAGCTTTGGGGCTTTAGGGCTTTGGGGTTTAGGGCTAGTTTAGGGTGTATAGGATGGGTGCAGGGCTTAAGGACTTGAGGGCGTCAGGACTTAATTTCGAGCGTTAAGATCAATCTACTTTGCCGCTCAATTCCTTCCGTTGGCGCTTGTCCGGAAAAGTCTCAAAACCCTGTTTACGGATGGTAGGCTTTTAAGTCTTTAAGAATCATGTGACTTAGTAGCTACTGTCAAAAGCTTTGCCATGATAACTAGGCTTGTTTAGACAACACGAATTCATTCACCTCTCATTGAACCCTACCACCCGCAACCCCAAACCCTAAACCCCCTAAACCCCATACCCCAAAACCCTAAACCCCAAACCCCTAAACCCCAAACCCCTAAACCCCAAAACCCTAAAGAACCCCTTCCTCAAAGCCCCGCCGGCCTTCCCCTTCATCAACGCAGCGAGGCCTTTGACCTGCCCGGCTCGAAGCGTCCGTCAGGGCGCCGGGCTTCGGGGATCTTATAAGGGCTCCATTAAAGGGATGTTTTAAGGGTTCCTTAAAGGGATCTATAAGGGTTCTTTAAAGGGTTTAGCGTCTAGAGTTTCCAAAAATTGGGGATACCTTATTTTGGGGTCCTTGTAATAAGGATCCTACTATTTAGGGTACCATGTTAGGGTCCCCCATTTTCGGAAACTCCCATAAGGGCCCCTTTAAGGGCTCCTATAAGGGATCTGATAAGGGCTCCTGGAACTAAGGGATCTTATAAGGGCTTTGACGATGTCTTTCGAAGGCTTATGGGATCTTCTTGACGCATTCATGAAAGTCTTTATTGAAGCTTGGGGTCAAAGCCCCAAACACTACATCTTACGACCCAAGCCCTTCAGCCAGCTCGAAAGCAGCGACGCTATGAAATCAAACTTAACCAACAATTTGAACACCGCCATTGCCACAGCACTATGCCAGAGAAACAAAGCAACACCGAACGAGCAAGAACTCATTACAAACACCTTAAACCCTAAACCAATATACAGAATCAAGCTATATACTAAATTCACAAGAGCCGAAGCTTCGGAAGCCTTGTTCACGGAGCGTTTCCAGCGAGCCACATTCTCTTTGGATCGGACCTCACCTTAATTTTCAGCAGGAGGCTTCTCAAACATCACGGGGCTTGTAAGGTGTTGGGGGTCCAGGTTTATCTGTCAATCTTGGCTTTGAGGGTTGCGGCCTTTGTTTATTCTTGTAAGATGTTTGAAGCGAAGGTTTCCGGGTTTAGTTTAATCAAGCCTTGCGGATTTAAATTTAGCCATATGCACGCGCATTTACTTCCAGATGGTAGACCACCTTTGGGGTGACAGGCAGGGGACTGTTTTTCGAGGGCTGTACAGAGGTGTAGGGTGTACGGTTGCCTTCAACCACCAAACCCCAAACAAACCCTAACCACTAAACCATCCAAAACGTGAAAAGCCTAAACGCCCCAATGCAACCCCATCCCATAGACTTCGTGTAGTAACCCGTATAGAACCCTCGAAGGCAGCCTTCAAATGAAGCCCAGAGACTCGGGGTTTCCCAGGATTCCAGCCACTGTTTCCAGGAATCGTCGTTGGTTTCCCCCTGGATTTGAACGAGCTTCGCCCGCCAGGCCTCTCGGATGTTCGTGGGGCTGCGCTTGGCTTACCTCTCTTTAGGCTTTTTTTAAGTGTAATGCACCACTCCTTTGACTCCTCTTTAGGGGTTTAGGGTTTAGTAGGGTCTCTCTCTCTCCCTCTCTCTCTCTCTCTGTGTCCCTCGCTCTGTATCGTTGCGCCTTTACTTCGCACTCTCATAGCTTCGCTGGAGCCATCGCTGTTTGCATTCTTGGTGCGTGTTTCAATGTTTCCGTGGGGAATGCGAAGAATGAGGACCGCAGCAAGACGACACAGGCCCGAAATTGGGTGAGAATCGGAGGGGCCTGCATCATTAGAATGGGTCTTTAGGTGTATATTGCCTATGACCTACAAGAGAACACCCCATAAGCACTTGATCATTACTACTTGTTCAGACCTCCATATTTCGGGATTCCTGGGGTGAATTTAGAGGGCAGAGTGTGTCCGAAGGCTACCCGGAGCCCTGAACCCAAAAACCCCAAAGTCCTAAACCACGACACTCAAAACTCTTAAGTCACCCGCAACCCCTTTTAAACCCCCTGCCGAAAAAAAACAACTACACACCCAAAAAGCCCTAAAAAGCCCAAAAGCCTAACCCCCAGCCTGCCGTGTCTCCGGCAGAGCCTGTCGCAAGAACGTGGCCGCGGTGAAGCTATCCGCATTTGACGACTCTTTCGCCTTGCTTGAGGGATTTCACGGCTTAGGTCAAAGGGCGTTGGGAGTTTTGGGTTTAATTTGCGGAGCTTCGGGTTTGTATTGGGTTTAGGGTTCCTTTGAGGCTATAAAGGTTGCCAAACCACGGGTGCAATAAGGGGTTCCATGGTTCCTCAAAGGGTCCAAGTGCGACTAACGTATATAAAGTGTTAGGGTCCACGCACCTGTTTAAACCACTTGGCTGTGTTCAGCTGGCTTCAAGGGGGTAGAGTTTGAGCTCACTTGGAGCCTCTGCCCTTCCCTGGATATCTGTGGGGAGTTGCAAACGGCTTCCTGGCTCTTAAACAAGGCTGATGGGAGGCCGAAAGGGTAGTTTTAGATTCTTGGGGTAGGGATTCCTTAATATGAACCCTATTATGGGAACCCTAATCCCTACTAAACCCCTATAGGCTAAAGCCCCTTTTGGCCACCTATGAAAGGCAGAGGGCGAAGAGCGCGGCTCCGACTGTGCGACTGCATGAGAGCCTCTGAGATTCCACGTTATGCTGAAAGCGGGTCGGTTTCAGACAAACGGTTTTAAAGCATTGCAAGGCCTAACTTCATCCCCAAAGTTGCAAATGTCGACACCATAAACCATACCTTCGGCTACCGAACCCTGCTTTTTTGTAGGTTCCTATAATCAACCTTACTATGGAATTTATAGGGAGCCTACAAAGAAGTAGGTTTTGGTAGGTTGAGGTAGTGAATCCAACTCTACTCAAAATAATCCTGCGGGTTCAGCAATTGACATCCCGTAATCAGGTTCGTTCTTCTCTTCCAAACGGGTGTAGGCTATCAGGTGAGAAACCGGCTTGAATTATCTTGGGCACCTGCCTTGGCAACGAAGATGCGCTGAGCCTGGACAGCGATGTGACTTCCGGCTTTAGGAAGGCTTGGGGGAATGAATCCTGAACGTTCAGCTTCCTAAACCCTGAACCACACCCGAAACCCTGAACTTAAACCTTACTCCCTAAACCCTAAGCCCAACTTCAAACATCCCTAAACCCTTAAGCATTAATCCTTCGAGGTTTTTGGGAGAAATCCGCAAAGTCTGCGCCCAAGCTTCGGGCCGGAGTCTCTTGAAGGTCCTGTTTTTTGAAGGTCTTGTTATGGAAACTTAAGCTTCCTAAGCAGGAAGTCACGATGGTGGGGTTTGGGGTTTAGGAGGTGAGGACTCTAGCACCTTGTAGACTTACCCTATGAAACCCGATGAAACCCACCAGTCTTGGGCCCTTAGCAGATATACTAGGTTTAGGGCTTAGGCTTTGGGCTTTAGGCTTTAGGGTTAAGGGTTTAGGGGACATCATGGCACGATTATGTTAAGGAGCCCGAAGGAGTAGTCTTACTAAAGTATTAGGCTCCGGCCCCTGTATTACGTTACATACACACATACATGAATACGGTGATGCTATGTTAAGGTCCATACATAAAAGCATAAGACCGTAAAACACAAAAACATATTCTAGAACCACTACAAAGCCAAGTAGAAAACTGTAAAATCATATCTACCTCTATAACGCCAACCCCGATACAACACCATACTATAAAAGCGACTCTAGATCCACAAAAATTTACGCGTAAAATCCGAACGCTTATCAGATCCTTCCGACATATCGAGCCTCGTGGGCCATGTCCCGAAGCAGCTTGTATGAAATGCAGTCCGCACCAACCTGGGAGGGGAGCTGTGTTTAGGGCTGCTTCAATGGCTTCTTTCCGGGCAGCTTTTGGTGCACCGTAGGGATTTAGGGCCTCAGGGCTTAAGGGCTTGGGGCTTGTGAATCCAAAACCCGCTCTTGTTATAAAGGCCTCTTTTTTTGAACCGGCGGCTTCGGGTTTCGGGTTTGGGTCTTCAGGAGTTTGGGACTTTCGGGTACTGGGGTTTCGGGGTTCGCTGGGCGCCATCACAGAGTGTTGCGAACTCGGACTTTCAAGAGAGCATGTAATTGAGGGCTTCGCCAGGTTACTATAGAAAAAAACTCTGGTCCATGAGCCCCTCCAACCCATGAACTCTGAACCGACAACCGAAAATACCTGAAACGCAAGAGTTCTACAACCACGGTCCTTCTCTTCAGGTGAGCTACAGCAGCTGCCAGTGTTCGATGGCACCAGTGGTCTGCAACCTTGGACAGCTGATCCTGGCTTTCGCAGTTTCACCTATACCTTGAAACCTCCGAACCCTACATGTCAAGCCCACACCCCCACATGCCTAAATCCTCAATCTCTGAACCCTAAACCCGGAATGGAGAAGTCCGATGCAGCCGCCTTAGTATAACTCCCTCTCTCTCTCTATCTCTCTCTCTCTCTCTCTCTCTCTCTCTCTCGCTCGCTCTCTCTCCTCTCTCCATGTGTCTGCCCGTCCGTCCCTTTATACGTGAATGCATCTATGTGTGTATTCGTGCATGTATGTGTGCCTGTATGTGAGTATGTTGGTATGCATGCATGCATGCATATATGTATGTATGCGTGTACAAATGAACATATGTAGAGATGACAATGGGCATACGTAAATGTGTGCATGCATGCATGCATGCATGCATGCATGCATGCATATAGGAACATACGTATGCATGTACATAACATGCCGTGTGTGGTGCCGGGGGTTCTGCACTACGTACCCAAATACACACATAGAAACACATGAGCGAGCGGGAGACAACGGTATCTGAACTGCTCATACGGAGTTGCATAGCATGTGTCTGCATACAGTCGGTCTCTTATCACTATCTTGACCTTTCTAGCTGTATCCAGCGAGAGTAACTATAAGCCGAAAGCCGAAAACCCACGCAATGGACCTTGAACTTGTAAGCTCTTAAACCCTAGAAGCAGGGGTCCTTCAGGTGAGAAGACTTCATGTGCTGCTTCTGCGAGCACTTAACCAACTCGGAGAAGTTGCTCAGCAGTGCCTCGCCAGTCCCCCATCCCATCGGTTTCAGGGTCTCGGGCTCCTTCCAAGGGTTCCTTCGAGGCTGAATGTAAGGGTTTCATACTTTCGTGGCTTCTCGACAAGCTCATACCGTAGACCTCTCAACCCTAAGCCCTAAACCCTAACTGTAATTCCGTGAAGTTGCGGTTCGGTCTCTCGACCCTCTCGCCCTGAACCTTTCTTTTCGAAGGCGCACGAGTGGCCCAAGCAAGCGGAAAAGGATCCGCACTTCGTGGAGGCACCGGGAACCGTGCTTTCCGGTCTTAGTTGTAGATTGGTAGCGGAGCGCTGGGGCGCTCAGGTTCCGTAGTTTTCCCTCTGAATTTTGTTGTGCCATGTCGTCTGCCGATGGTGGTGATGCGGGGACTACTCATGCTCATGATCCTAGTGATGATTCTGTTTGGCGACCTAGTGAGGGCGGAGGTAACGAACAAGGAAGCGGTGACTCCCGACCTCCTCCGCGTGATGATCATGGCTCCTCGCAGTGGGATCACGCCCATGATCCATGGGCGGCCTGGAATGATTACCAGCAACCCAGCTGGTGGGGACATTCCAGTTGGGGAGATCGTAGCGGCTGGTGGCAAGGCTACGATTGGCGAGACCAAAGACGATGGAGCCTCGGGGATACATGGGGCACCTCGTCGACGAATGCCGGTTCTGGACCTGGCTCTGCGGACGGGAGTGCAGGCAATGATCACAAGTCGGCCCCCGGATGGAGTCCAGGAGACAACGGATGGGACGACGCCTCCAGAGGCGTCCCTCGGCGCCCCGAGAACTCTCGTGGGCCGAGCGAAAAGATGGTGGTTCCCACTTTTGACGGCGAGATCAACTCCACCTACGACGACCTCGGCTCTTCTGCAAGATCGTATGTTCGGCAGGTGAGTGCTTGGCGTCGCATGACGCCCCTCAGCGCCGACCAACAGGCGCTTACCTTGTATCAGAACCTCTCCGGCAAGGCCTGGGTGGACGCGGAAAAGTTGCACATGGACCGGCTCGCGGCCTCCGACGGCGTCGACTACTTTCTTGGATGGATCAAGGAGAGGTATCTTGACGTCCAAATCACACAAGTGGGACGCAGCCTCTCTGGTTTCTTCAGAGGCCTCCGTAGGAAGCCTACCCAGACTGTCAGGGAGTACCTTTCGGAGTTCGATCGCGCCTACGCGCGACTCAATGAAGTCGGGTGCTGCTTACCCGATGTGGCGGCGGCCTGGGTCTTTGTTGACCGTGTGGGACTTGATGAACAGGCCGAGCTCAACCTCTTGGCGTCCGTCGGCAACGTCTACGACCTCCAGCAGCTGCAGAAGGCCGCGATCGTTCATGATCGCACCTTGCGGAAGCCTTGGGAGACGATGCCCAAGAATGACAGGAACCCTCGCCGCGAATGGTTGCCGAGGCGCAACCACTCTGCGCTTCTGACCGGACACGACGATGGCGAAGAGGACTTCCTCCAGGAAGACGGCCAGCCTGAGGTCGATGATGACGAGATCGTCCCGGAAGATGTCGCGGCTGAGTACTACGAAACCTTCATGACGCATGAGTCGGCAAAGCAACGTTACAAGGAAACCCTCAAGCTACGTGGCAGCGACCCTGAGTCCTTGAAGAAGCTGTCTGAGGATCGTCTTCAGGCGGCAAAGGCGCGATCGTATTGCGCCGGTTGCCGACGACGAGGTCATTGGCACCGAGACGCATGCTGCCCCTTGAATAAGGCTGCCGCTGGGACCTCCGGAACTACCTCTTCGGGAACCTCCCCCCCTACCTCAGGGCAGTCCTTGAAGCCGGCAAATCCGCCGCCCCACAAGCCTGACGGAGGGCGTCAGCATGTGGTTCATGTCACTTGGGACCTCCAGGACCAGGGCGGCCCCGACTTGATGGCGATCACGGACACCGCGTGCTCGAGGAGCGTGGCCGGCATCAACTGGATTAACTCTTACGTAGCTTTGGCAAAGCAAAAGGGCTTCAGCGTTGAGTTTGTGCATATCCAGGAAGCTTTTCGGTTTGGCGCCTCTCGAGTGTTCGAGGCCCGCCACGCTGCGGTCATCTACTTTCCTATTGGGGAGAAGATCGTGGGGCTTAAGATTGCCGTCGTCTACGGGGAGGTGCCACTTCTGATTTCAAGACCGGCTTTGGCACTTTTGGGGATGATCATGGATGTGGCCCGCAATGTCGCCACCTTTCGCGCTGTCGGTGTCATAGATTTGCCGCTGAAGATGACCGAAACGGGGCATCCAGCTTTCCCGGTCCAACCTGTGGACCCCAAGAGCCTGAAAGGACCTGCCATGGACTGGCAGTCCCAAGAGATCGGCATCTTCTCGCGCGCTGAGCAATACATGGTGTTTGCTTTGGAATCCGTAGAGCCTCTCCTAGGTGAAGTCGATGTTCGTTGCAACAAGGACCCGAAGGCCCATCACGAACCTCACCATCCTCAACGAGTCTTTCATCCCAAAAGGATCGCGGCTGCTACAAACAACCTTCTTCTGGCAGATGTGTTGAACCGTGAAAGTTTCTTGGCATGGTGGTCACAAACTTCAATTTCGAACGACTTTTGGATAGAAGGTGAGCACATCATGGTCCGGGTCCACGTGGTGCCTCGTAATAAGACCTTTTTCAACCCTACTTCATGGAGCACCCCCAAGCACGAACTCAAGGCGAACCTCCTGCAGAGCCTCGGTTTCATGCGTGTTGTGAATGCAGTCTCATGTCACACTCAGCGGGAATTTCCAGCAGTTCATGATTTGTGGAGAGACGTTGGTGCAGACTCGAGTTTTCCGATGCTTTGGATCGGGAGAACCGTGTTCTGTAGAGCTTCGATGCCCTGCCGACCACCTTGCGATTCCCTTGTGAACCATGGCCCCGAAGCCTCTCTTGACTGCTCCGATGGTGTCGCGGCCCAAGGTCCTCTCCGAGATGAAGAAGGACGAGCTGCTCCGGGAAGCAGCTGCGCGGAACCTGCCGGTGAACCCTCGCTGGACGGTGGTAGAGATTCGCTCAGTGATCCAAGAGGACATGAGCACCGAGGCGACGTCGGCGACTTCATCCGTCCCACCGGTGGGACTGTCGAAGATGACCTTGCAAGAGCTGAAGGAGAAGGTCGTGGAGATCGGCCTCGAGATCCCTGCCAAGGCCACCCGCGGCATCCTGATGCGGATGGTGCGGGACAACGGGGGCAAAGGCCCCGAAACCATACTCACCTTCGGGAGATACCAAGGCATGCGCTACATGGACACACCGACCGGCTATCGCACCTGGGCGGTACGAGAAGTGGTGAACAACGACAATGCCTCGGAGGACTTGCGGATGTTCGCAGCTTGGTGGAAGGCCGAGACCGAGAGTCGAGGAGTGGTGCATCCGCCTACTTACATGGATCCAGAGAGCAGCGCTTCGATACCCTATGTGCCGAACGAGTCGGAGGACAGTGCTGCCTGGGAAAGGGTATCGTCCTATGTTCCGGCGAAGGCCAAGGCGAAGTGGAGCGGCTACCAGGCGGCACCGTTGACTACGACACCGAAGCGACGCTCGGCACCTTCCGAGAGCAGTTTCTCGAGCCGCTCGCGCATGGACCAGGACATCCCGGAGGAGATCTTGGACGAGGTGCAGCACCTCGAAGAGAGGCTGGCGATTCTGCGCGATCGGCATGGACTGCCCCCTCAGGGCAGTACGGGGACGGACCAGTGAGTGGGCCAGACCCACGCGACTACAACGAGGACTACGACGAGATCTACTTTGAGGACGATGAGGAGAAGCTCGATTTTCTTCGAAACCAGGTTGCACCCTTGGGCGTTTCACGCGAGGATGCGATCTACAACGGGGAAATCAGGAACGAGAAGAACGACTTCAAGGAAACCAACCTGGAGAACTCCAACCTCTATCTGAACCATGGTCCCGCGGAATGCGTTCAAGGACAACATATAAAAGACAGCGCAGAACGTGGCTATGAGTCTGCGCCGGGTCTTCCAGGACATGTTCTCTTCGAGGAAACCAAACTGGAGAACAGCAACCTCTACCCGAACCATGGTCCCAATGTTTTTGAGAATGCAGAGAAGATCTCCGTCGAGTCCTTCCCCGAGGTGTTCCATTCCGACACAGAGGATTTCTTTGAGATTGCCAGCGGCGAGGAGCACTCAATTGTTCAAGAAGGTGCAGATTTTCAGGTTCTGGCTGCGTCCGATTCTTCCTCATCTACTACAACCCTGAGGTGTGAAGCCTTGGCTCGCGAGAAGCTGCGCACGAAGGCCTTTTCTTTTGCCGACCTCTACGAGATCGTCCAGCTCATACCGCTCCGGAAGACCAAGAAGCACAGATGCATCAGCGGGGGCGCCGAAACAACGGTCAACTACTTCTTTGCCGGCCTCTACACCCACGGCGTTTTCTCCGGGATCACCAAAGGAACAGAAGCATTGCCCTGGGTGACTCGGTATATCAATGCGTTCGGCCGGGACAAAACCAACGGCAGCTGGAGCTCGTGGATCCTCAATAATAAGAACGTCAAGTCCAGCGTGCACTCCGACAGCCACAACCTCGTCGGCACCAACATCACGACGATGTGCTTCGGTGACTTTTCCGGTGGAGAGCTATGGGTTGAAGATGATGCAGCCGACATCGAGGGCGACGCTGTGTTCAGGACTGATGCTTTCAACAAGACCCGAAAGGGGAAGCTCATATCCACCAAGCAGGCACCGCTCGTCCTCGACCCCAAGCGCAAGCACTGCACAGAGGCATGGCAAGGAGACAGATGGACCCTCGCTTTCTTCACCCCGCGTGGTTTTCCGGAGTCCACCCCAGCCTTACGAGACCGCCTTCGAGACCTTCGTTTTCCTCTTCGTGGTCTCCCTATCGAGGAACATCGCCATGATTTTGCGCGTGCGCCCAGACCGCCCAAGAGCACCCGGAAGGGGTTATGGAAGGCAGCGAAAAGACTCGCTTCAATGACTGCGTGGTGTACGATGGCGGCTACCTCTTGGGCAACCACAGACTTCCCTCTCGGGAAGAAACAAGGAGCACCCACCCTGTTTGAAGTTGGCGACGTGACGAAGACCTTGGAGGCTGGCGACTTTGACTACGTCTGCATGGAGCCCCTTCTCCCTGAGGATCTCGGACCACCGAATGTTTTCTCTGAGGCCAAGGACAACCTCGTGAAGTTCGAGCCCGAGACCGTTTGGGTCCATGTCGAAAAGATAAAAGGGTCTCTTGGTCCGCTCCAGCAGGTGTTCGAGGCCCAAGCATGCAGTGGCAGGCCTCTGGTGTTTGAGTTTCCCGAGGACAAGAACGACATCACCGGCGGCGAGCTCGAAGATTTCATTGAAAAGTATGACGGCCACAGCGAAAGCCATGACGGAAAACGCCGCCTCGTGCGTATCAATGTTCGGGAGAACTCTTCCCCCGACCTCTCGCTTCCTCAGGGAGATCGAGCCAGTTTTCTCTTCGAGTCCTACATGGCCTCTGGAGGCGCCCGTGGAAGCGACGACCCTCCGCCAGAAGTCCTACAACGAGGAGCAGAAGCCATTTCTTTCACGAAAGGAGAGACAATACCTGGACCGGTACAAAGCTCTCTCAAAAGGCTGCACCAAAATCTCGGGCACGCAAGCCCAAACGATATGGCCCGACACCTACGTCTTGCCGGAGCTGACCCTACAGTGATCAGCGCTTGCAAAAGGATTCGCTGTCAAGTTTGCGAACGGCAACAACGAGGCGGTTCCCCGAGACCCGCGAGCATCCCCAACCTCCTGGAGTTCAACCAGGTGGTCGCCTTGGACGCTTTTACCACCTACGATGCTTTTGATGACAAGGTGGAGTTGCTCATGGCGGTGGACCTTGGCACTGGTTTCTGTTTGGCAAGCGAGCTCGATGGTCATTCCGGAAAGGCCATGGAAGCCACCTTTTGTCGGATGTGGAGCCAAACTTTCGGAGCACCCGGCACTCTGGTGCTCGACTTGGAGACAGGTCTCCAAGCAGGACTCGCACGTTTCTCCGAGTGGCACGGGACACTGTTGCGTCCCATCGCTGCCCAAGCTCATTGGCAGCAAGGCGTCGTCGAAAGATGTATCCGGACTTGGAAAGAAGTCTGGGTGAGGACCGTCGATGACAAGACTGTCACCCGGAAAGAAGCCCCGCTGGCCATCACCTCAGTGAACTCGGCGATGAACACCCTCAGGCGCCAAAGCGGGTTCAGCCCTTCTCAGGCAGTGTGGGGACGTGATCCTCGACTTCCCGAAGACCTCAGCGACCACCAGCTTTCGGAGCACTTTCACCACGTCCTCTCCAAAGATAGAGTACGAGCGCGAGAACACACTTTGCGCGTGGCCGCCAAGGAGTCCTTTTTTAAGGTCAAGAACGATGAAAAGCTTCGCCGCGCTCTACTGCAACGGACAAGGGTTTCTGGAAGCGACCTCGAGATCGGCATGCACGTCTTCATGTACCGGAAGCCTAAAGATTCCAAGAACTGGAAGTGGTTCGGGCCAGCTACTGTTATAGGGCGCGAAGGCGGGAACTACTGGGCTTCTTTCGCAGGCCGGTGTCACTTGATTGCCCCAGAGCACATCAGGATTGCGACTGGAGAGGAGTTAGGAGCTGCTTTTACGTTGCGGGCGACAAAGGAAGACTTGGAGAAGCTTCTGGAGGTGCCCTTTGCCGACGAAGCGATTTTTGCTGGAGATGACGGCGACCAAGGCGACGATGATCTTGCGCTACCTCCTGGTGATGGCGACGCTATGGACGACCAGGAACCCGAAGAGGAGGGAGCCGCTTTCCCCCCTGTAGCCAAGAGATACCGCACGAAAGGACCACAGGACGCCGAGGACGACGTCTTCGATGAGTTGCTGGTCTCCACCGTTGGCCCCGAGAAGAAGGACCTCCAGACCGTCTACATGATGAAGCTCCCCAAGACGCCCCGCGCCAACGAAAAGGCTCTTGAGAAGGAAATTCCCTGGAGCCTTATACCTGAAGACCAACATGAGGGCTTCAGGGCAGCCGAGAGAACTCAGTACGACGAGCACATCCAGCACGACGCACTGGAGCCGCTTTCCGTCGAAGAGAGCAGGGAGATCTTGAGGACTAAGCATGACCGAGTGCTGAGCAGCAGGTTCGCGTACAAGGATAAGTTTTGGTCCAAACGAAAAGAACACCCAGACATCGGCTGGAAGCACAAAGCCAGGCTAGTGATTGCCGGGCACCGCGACCCTGACTTGATGAACGGTCTCAACACCCATGCTCCTACTGTTTCCCGGCAAGGAATCCTCCTCCTTCTGCAGATCCTCGCCAGCAACCTCCATCGTGGATGGACAGGCCATGCCGGCGACGTTTCAGCGGCTTTCCTGTGCGGCGAGAACCTCCTAATTAAGAGAGCTCTTCCTCAAGCAACCCCCCTCCGGGCTTGGAGATCTACACCCTGAGCAATTGCTGCGCATCAAGAAGCCTATCTTCGGGCTGGTTGACAGTCCGGCAGCACTGGTGGGGAAAATTCCGAAAGTCTTTGACGAGTACGAGATTGTATGGTGAGCATGGGCGCGTGTGGGTGATAAGCAACTGCTCCCTGGACCATTGCATTTTCATTGTCCAAGAAGAGATCACCGATGAAGAAGGACGGCAAGTGCTACGAGAACCCGAAGCCTACATCGGGGTCCATGTCGACGACGTCCTTTTGGTGGGCGACAACGACCTGTGCCGCCTCATCCAGAAGGAGCTCAGCGCAGAGTTCCCCATCAAGGAGTGGGAAAGTGGATCGTTTGAGTACGTCGGATCCTACATCGACATCAAGGAGGACATGATAATGGTGTCGCAGGCGAGCTACACGACTACGAGGCTTTTCGAGGTCGAGGTGCACAAGGAACAGAGCGACGAGGACCCCGCGAGCGAGGTCCAGAAGCACGACAATATGTCTTTGATAGGTGCTTTGTCATGGTTAGCTAGCCAGAGCCGGCCAGACCTGCAAGTGGGAGTGTCAATGTGTCAGCAGAGGCAACGCGACCCCCTGGTCTCAGACATCAAGTTCACGAACCTCATGGCGCAGAGGGCCTACGAGCACCAAAAGGAGGGTGTACGCATCTTCCCGATCGACCTCGACCGGGCGACTCTCCTATGTTTCCATGATGCAGGTTGGGCGAACGCCCCGCAAAACCAGGAAGATCCGTACTACAAGCTCACTCCGGAAGAGGACCAGCTCGGAATGATCACCAGTGGCCCTATGAGCCGAAGCGAAGCCCGAGCGAAGCGTGCAAACTCGAGTGTCTGCTCCCAGTTAGGCGGGCTCTTCCTCCTCGCCGACAACAAGGTGCTCCAAGGTGGAAAGCACAAGGTGAGCACTCTGGATTGGAGGAGTGGCGCATGCGACAGAGTCTGCCGTTCTACGTTTGCAGCTGAAACCATGGCGTGCGCCACGGCCATCGAGACTGGGATCTTCATTAGCCGATTCTTGGAGACCTTGCTCACCGGGAAGCTCGCGCGGAATTCCTCACGGCTTCAACTGCGTTTTCTGAGCGATTGTAGAAGTCTGTACGATCACTTGATCAGGGACGGAGTCCCACGTGTCCCCTCCTGTAAACGTCTTGCAATTGACCTAGCCGCTATTCGTGATGATCTTAGCGAGGTCGGTAGAATTGCATGGGTTCCCACGGGTGCCCAAATGGCCGATCACCTCACGAAACCGCTCAAAGCGGCCGACTGGTGGCAGCATTTGTCAGATGGTCTCGAGTTAACTTTTCGAGAGGACCCTGTATAGAATGTTGAGAGATTTCGAACCAGTGTAATTCTGTGAAGTTGCGGTTCGGTCTCTCGACCCTCTCGCCCTGAACCTTTCTTTTCGAAGGCGCACGAGTGGCCCAAGCAAGCGGAAAAGGATCCGCACTTCGTGGAGGCACCGGGAACCGTGCTTTCCGGTCTTAGTTGTAGACTAACCCTTCTGACAACTTCACCTGCACACTCAAAGTCAAAACGCGAATCAACTGGGCCTCGCCCCGCCGGTACAGAATCTCACCTCGGCTGGCTTTGACGCGGAGATTATTATCGTTTGTGTTACCATTGCTACCCCTTGTTGTTCGTTTGTTCTTGTTCTTCTGACTCTTATTGTTACGCTTGTCATATGTGTATGTATACATATATACACACACCAGTATCCATATCCGTATTTGCACCTGTAGCTATATCTGTATCTCTTCTGTGCTGTGCATATATATATATATATATATACACACAAAAAATGTGTATGTATGCACTTACACGAACATACGGTGTTTGTGTAGATATGAATGTATATATCGGGCTTGTATAGAGTTCGCTGTCGGTAGAGGTAGGGTTCAGAGTTCGGGGTTTTAGGATCTAGTCTAGTAATCTAGTGCACGGGATATGAATGCACAACACGACAGACGATGGAGGCTCGGCGCAGAGCTGAAGAATGCAAAAGGCCCGAAACTTCCATCTTGATCCTAATCACGAACCCTACAGCCCTAAACCCCCACAAAGTCCCTGACGCCTTTAATCCAAGGCCGAAATGCTCAACCTCGAACCCTAACCTCTTACACCATAAACCTTACGCCCCAAGCTCACGGATGTCCTCAACGCTAAACCCTAAACCCTAAAACCCCCAAACCCTAAACCCCCAAACCCTAAACCCCCCAAACCCTAAACCCCTAAACCTTATAAACGCTAAACCCTACATTTCGGTGCAGGCGCAGTTTGTCCACGGGCGCCGCTCAACGTCGATGCTCTGCTCCTGGATTTTCTTCTCCCAGACCTCAGCATCTGATGAAACGCGGGGGCCTTTAGGGGTAGCTTAGGGTTCCTTTAAAGGGTTACTATACGGGTACTATAAGGGTTACGATAAGAGCTACTATAAGAGTGTATATGGGAGTTTCCGAGCATTAGGGGCTCCTTGAAAGGGATCCTTCAAGGGTTCCTTAAAGGGATCTATAAGGGGTTCTATAAAGGGTTTAGGGTTTGGGAGTTTCCGAAAATTAGGGGTACCTTGTTTGGGGGTCCTTGTAATAAGGATCCTACTATTTAGGGTGCTAATATTAGGGTCCCCTATTTTCGGAAAGTCCCATTTAAAGGAATGCGTTCATAGTTCCGTTGAGGCTCCCTTTATCAATCTGTAAGGGTTCTACATACTTAGGGTCGTAGGAGCCATGATAGCTAGTAACTATATAGACTGGGAGGGAATACTCCATTATAGATACCTTTCGAGGCCTTATATGGGCATAATATTGTAGAGTGATGACCTGCTGTGTAATTCCTTGTTCTCATCTTTCCACATTTCGACACTATCGGGGTTCTTGGCGGGCTACCTATCCGGGATCAGAGGCCAAACAGGGATTGTGGCAACTGGGATTTACGGACTCAAGGCTCCTCAGAGGTTTTCAACCTCCATCTGCGTGATCAGTTGTGATATCCCGAACCATGGCCTCGAACTTATAAGCCCGAGAAGCCTAGAAGCTAAATCTCACATCCTGATTTTTCGGGCCTTTATAAGCAGGGGCTATATGTATTCTAACTATGGTATCACTGCTGATGCATGATTCTCACTTGAAAAGTAACTCGCAGACTCACACTTGCAGAAACTGACCGTTGTTGGCTTCTTGCGCACCTCAGGCCCCCGCCCCCAAATCCAAGATAAGAGTCAAAAACCAGCTGCCCTGAACCCCGAACCCAAAGCCTCTAAACCTCAGACCCACAAGCCCTTCCAGCGGGTCAAAGCACCAATATGTCGTAGAGTCTTCATAGGCTTCAAACGAAGCCCCAAACAAAAACAGAACCAGGTGCGAAGTTGTTTTTGAACCCTTGCACCCTAAGCCATCAACCTTAAGACTCCACCGATCATTCCCCTGGGCAACCAGCCTGCTCCAGAAGGTCTTTCAACGACCTGCGGCAGCTCCGATGGCACTTTTTCCTTGAAATTATAATCGTGTTTAAGGTACGGGTTGTAAAAGTATCCCTGATATACGGGAAGACTCTGGAAGTAAGAGTGTAGCACTCAGGGGCCTACGCACACTAAGCTTCAGACACACAGCCTAAGACAGGAGGGCCTCAAGGGCTTAAGACTTTGACAGTCTTGGAGCTGTAGGGTTTTGGGGCCTAGGGCTGGCACCACATACGATCTGCTAGTTGATTTTGGGGTGCTTTCCGGGCAGCTGAATCTTCTGTCGCGTTGCAGCCATTGCTTCTTCGCCGGATGATAAGGTTTCGAGAATAAGGACTACTCCCCCCTTCGAAGAGCATTACCTTACTCCAAGTCTGTGCATCGACTCAATATCCGGCCATAAGCCCTAACGGTAGACCCTCACCCCAAAGCCCTAAACAGCGTTGAAATCCTAAATCCTCAGCCCAAAACCCTAAATCCCTCACAGGAGCGATAGGGATTCTCGGAGCGATAGGAGCCCCCAAAACCGCCCTAAATCCTAAACCCCTAAACCCCAAACCCGAAACCCCCAAACCCTAAACCCTAAACCCCAAACCCTAAACTCCAGACCTCTAAACCCCCAAGCGCCCAAGAAGACGTCCAGAAGTGGCCTCTGCGGCTTCTCGCCCGCTGCGGCCTTCAGCGCGTGCCTGGGGGGAGCTCGGGACTCGGGTACCCTTTAGGGGCCTTAAGAGATAGAATAGGGTTGGGGTCTTTAAGGCTACCAAAAAAGGGATCTATATGGGTATTATAATATAGGGGCCTTCATATTTAAAATAGGGTCCCTTTGAAGAGGTCTTGAAGGGCTACAAGAAGGGATCTATATGGGTATTGTAATATAGGGGCCTTAATATTTAGAATAGGGACTTGGGGACCATTATATTATACTTATAATAAGGAAACCCCCAAAAAGTACTGGTAATTATTGAGGCCCCTATATTACCCTTTAGGGCTCGCAGGGTCTTAAGGTTTTGGGGTTTAGGAGTTTAGGGTTTAGGCCGTGGACTAGCGCGTAGGCGAGGGTTTAGGGCTTTTGGGATTTAGGGCAAAGTTCAGGATTCAGGGCTCTAGGGCTTTAGAGTTTAAGGTCAAAGATTAGGGCCAAAGTTTGGGGTTCAGGGCTCTGGGGCTTTAGGGTTTTTTTGGGGCCAAAGTTTAGGGTTTAAGGGTTTTTGGGTTAAGGGCCAAAGATTGAGGTTTGGGTTTTAGGGCCAAAGTTTAGGGCAGGGGACAGAGGTGCGCAGTTGTGCCATAACGAAACCCTAAACCGCGATGCTTACAAGAAGGTGCTGAAGGTAGGGTAGCATGTTGTTTGGGGGCCCTATTGCTGGGTGACCCTCGATCCGAATCCTAAGTCAAATGAGTGTTGGTCCTGCGTTGCCTCAAACTTTACTCCGTAAGCCCTTACAACTACACTCGGAGCCCTACTAAAATCTGCAAACCCTCGTACACCAAAGCGAAAAGAACACACACGCACACAACACCGTAAACCCCAAGCCCCACACGCCAAGTCCCGCACCCCACACCCTACTTGGATGTCGAGAGACTTGCAAAGTAGCTACTTTAAAGAGCTGTAAGTACCATTTCCTCAATAGGATTCCGTTCAGGGTACGTATAATAACTATATTATCTCCTCCTGACTTCGTCCCCGCCCCGACCCTCCCTTATAGATACCTTTAAGGAGCCCTACGAAGTCCCGCGACCCTCCAAGTAAAACCGAAAACCGCGGACTCCGAAAGCTGCACTTTCGGACCACAGGGACTTTCGTAGCGTTGGCTCTGGGGGCAGTTTAAATATGAGAGGGGATAGGGTTTAGGGCTTATTGAAATTAGGGTTTGGCTAGGATTTTAGAGATTAGGGATTAGGGTTTCGAGTTCTTTATTTTGGTTTTGCGGTTTGCGGTTTAGGATTGGGTCAGGGCTGTAGGGTTCCTTAACCCGTACCCCACTGGGAAGGGTACATGTTTTTGGCTCAGCCACATTTACTAATACTAGGAACCAGAAACCAACAACGAAGAAAGGCTAATGCTCAGCATCCTAATTAAGAGATAGGGTGCCTTTATGGTACTTGGACGGTTACGGTAATCAAGGGGCCTTAATGATCAGAATAGGGCTTTGGGGTATACTATACAATAACTATAATAAGGACCCCCCCCAAAAAAACAAATAGTATAGGTAATTATGAAGGCCCCTATAGTAGAGACCCCAATCCTCAAACCGTAGTAACCGAGGCGCCGATTCGCCAGAGCTCGGGTAGCGGAAGCCACGTCGCCGAGCAACTCACCAGTGAAGGCTTCAACGCCTTTCTTAAAGGAGCATGGGACTGATGTAGTAGGCAAGGGTATAATAAATACTTTATGAATACTTTCTTAAAGGATCATGGGACTTCGTAATTAAGGTTATAAATACAAGTACTGTAATTTAGTTGGGGCGATAAGTAATTGTAAGTACAGTTTCTTTGCTCATGGGACGTAGTAAGTCTGGTCGGTAAGTATGTATGAGTATAGTTACTTTGGCTTGACTCTAGTTACTAAGTCCCAGGGTACTTTAAGTTCTAAAGTAGACCTATCTCTAGGCTTGAAGGTCTTAGGCTGTTAGGGTTTGGGGCTTAGAGTTCGGCCCCTGTTTCTTCTCTACTTCTGTCAACCGTCTGGAGTTTAGGGCGTAAGTTTCAGGGTGAAAGATTTCAGGGTTCACGGCCTCTGGTTTGTTATCTCTGGGCTTAGGACTTTCAGCAGCTCTCCGGATTGATCCAGCCACTGCTCGTGGAATTGACGGTTGCAAAGGGTTTGGGGCATACTACTGCACCATGTGTACAAGGGACTTTCA